CTCCACTGAAGTTCCTAAACCCCCGAAGTAACCCGACGAACTTAAAGGGCTATCTCGGTCTAGCGCAAGTTGGTGAAACCTTGTGCTGGGACTGCCACCCTACTGAGAATTCCCATGATCTTCCAAGTGGTTGGTTGCCTAACCCCGAAAGTATATTTGGTTTCTAGTTATACGGTTATCATCCAATATGGCTACAAGTGCATCCCCGAGTTTCTCTTAGTTGAAAGGGGGGTGGGGGTTGGCGGGGCAATCAGCTTCACCTCAGAGCACCAGGCGGAAGTTGGTGTTTTCCGCATGTGCAGCACAAGCTGTCTTCACATGCCTTTGGGGTCGTAAACCGCGTCCCCTGCTTCCGTCGCTTGCAGGAACACAACAGATAGACCGCACATGGATGCATCTCAGAGGAAGCATTTCCGAAAACCGTTTGCGCGAAGTCCAAGAACGGAACGTGCAAGCCCATCAACTTGAAGGGTTTGTTGTCGGGGGTCCCTTATGTCCGTAAACCCCATGGATTTACCAGTTCCAGGGGCGGCGGGTCCACAAGGATCCCTTTGTGGTGTTGGCCGAGCTGTGCAAGAACAAAGTTTTGTTCGGAGTCTGCGCCAAAACGCTGGGTTTGGCACATCAAGCCTACAAATATATAGATTGTCTCAGGGATTCGTGGCCTTCTGCGTCATGCATTCAGCTATTAATAATGCGTTTTGCCAGGGTGTTGACAATGTGCACCGACAAGTTATGTACAAGAACGCAAGGCGCACGACAGGCCCTCACGAAAAACAATGCGTATACCTGTGGCCTGTGGCTTACCCTATCCTATTCCACAGGCTCGGCTTGAAGTTTTTGGTGCATGATCTGAAGGCGAGTTGGGTTTAACTTCAGTCCCATTAGGGTTGAGGGGAGCAAGTTTGAGGGTTCATGAATTCTCGGGATGCCATGCACGCGGCAAAACGATGCACAGACATGGGAAAACCATGTGCCGACATGCCAAAACCGACCCGCCGAGATGGACAAATCTGGAACAACTGACAGAGGGATACCGAGATTTAACCCTAAACCCTAAACCCTAAACCCTAAACCCTAAACCATAAAACCCTAAACCCTAAACCCCAAACCCTAAACCCCTAGCCCTGAAACTGCGCGCATCTTGCGTTTGCACCGGCTACCGGAAGAGCGGGGCTGCTGCGGGAGGGTCCGGAAATCTTGAAAGTGAAGTTGATGCGCGACGTGTCAAGACCGCCCCCGCCGCCCTAGACCCTAAACCCTAAACCCTAAACCCTAAAACCTAAGCCCTAAACCCTAAACCCTAAACCCTAAACCCTAAACCCGAAACCCTAAACCCCAAACCCTAAACCCTAAACCCTAAACCCTAAACTCTAAAACTTAAACCCTTAAACTAACCCCTAAACCCTTGAACCCTTGAACCCCAAAGCACACTTTAGCTGCTGCTCAGCATCCCAACCTCATAAACCTGAGACCCCCCCTTAACCAGCCTTAAGCCTCAAAAGCCCTAAGGCCTAAGCCCTAAGCCCTAAACCTTAAACCCTGAACCCTAAACCCTAAACCTAAACCCTAAACCCGAAACCCGAAACCCGAAACCCTAAACCCTAAACCCTAAACCCGCAACTTCGCGAGGTGCCAGAGCACGGGGTGCGGCGCCATGGCGCGCTTCGGGCTCAAGGACTTAGTAGGTTCATGGAGATTTGAAGGCTCCCGGAAATAGGGGGGTACCTTTTCTCGGGGTCCCTTCAAGGAGCTCCTATTCCATTTGGGGTAGAAAAGGGGTACCCTAAACCCTAAACCCTAAACCCTAAACCCTAAACCCTAAACCCTAAACCCTAAACCCTCAACCCTAAACCCTAAACCCTAAACCCTAAACCCTAAACCCTAAACCCTAAACCCTACACCCTAAACCCTTTTTGGGAAATGCCTATTCAGGGTTTGAGTCCCAGACGCTCTGCTGGGAGGACTCTCCGAGCACGTCGGAGCGCGAAGGCCGACAAGGATCCCTTGCCGCTTGGTTTGAAAACTCTGGGGACTCAGGGGTTTCAGGGGTTTCAGGGGTTTCAGGGGTTTCAGGGGTTTCAGGGGTTTAGGGTTCAGGGTTCAGGGTTCAGGGTTCAGGGTTTAGGGGTTTGGAGGTTTAGGGCGCCAATGTGCCGGCAAGCCCTAAAACGAGCGTGCGAAACGGTCGACAAGCACCAAAACCTCCGGAAACACGCAGTCAGTTCGCCGGTCAGTCAATCAGTATTGTCAGGTGCCTGGTAGCGCAAACACCTCAAACCCCAAATCCGGCACAATGCCCTCCTCAGTCCTCGTCGAGGCGTGATGTGGAGGTGGAGCCCGCGCCGGGCCATCAGTAACCTGGCATTTCTGGGAAGCTGGTAGCTATCCAGGTAGTCAAAAACCTACCCAAAGCCTAGGCACACCTGCACCATGATCTACCTCCACGGCTACTGCCGGGCCGGCCTCGGACTCAGCCGTATTTGCTCGCAGCAGTGGCCACGCCCTGAGCTTGCCGGTGAGGCTCGGAGTACCTGCCGAAGGGCCAGCTGTGCTTCTGCATGCCGTGGGCGCCGGGCGGCGACCGAGCACGAGGACCAGCAAACATGGGGAACATGTTTCGCGCCATATTTGGCAGGAACAATGGTAGATGTTCTGCTTTGCTGGGGATTTGATTCAGGGCCCAGGGGTGGATGTGGCTGGTGTCTCTAGGCCACCTGGGGGGTGGGGGGAGAATACCCCCCTAAACCAACACAAAATCCAGAAGAATCTGCCCCAAGGTCCAGGAACCCTACAAGCACCACATCCGCGACAAGCCGCCCCTAAGGCCCCTAAAGCCCCAAAGTGTCCCCCCCCTCCCACCCCCCATGTCGTCAAAAAACAGCAAGGATGCCCCAAACGTTCAAGCCTTCAGTGCTTGCGTCCTTCGGAATCATGTTCTGTTTTTGGTGTTTCATCAAACCGAACAGCTAACGTTGTGAGGGTTCTATATCTCTCCGGCCCCTGGGCCTCGAAGCCCTTACTGAGGACTCAGGGCGGTGTTGCCCACAGCTCCCGAGATGCTTCAGCCGTGGGGTGAAGAAGCAACCTCCTGGCAGCCCTTGCTTACAATGGTACAAGATGCGGGGGAGAGGGTTCGGGGGCCTTTAGGGGCGCTGCGGGGGTGGCTCAGTGGGCCTAAGTTTGTAGCTGAAGGGGTTTAAGGTGAGATGAGAGGTCCGCTGGCTCATTGCCGACTCGCACCCGGAAACCCTAAACCTTAGGGTTCGGGGTTTAGGGTTTAGGGTTCAGGGCCCAAAACCCCCCAAAACCCCCGAGGTATGGCTACGAATCGCCAAACCACAATCGGGCCCCTGGACGGCAGTCAGGAGTCCAGGGCCTTGGGCTTCAGCCCATGAGTTTCTTGAATTTCTTGGGCTTCTTGAGCTTCTTGAGTTTCTTGAGTTTCTTGGGTTTCTTGAGTTTCTTGGGTTTCTTGAGCTTCTTGAGTTTCTTGAGTTTCTTGAGTTTCTTGAGTTTCCTGAGTTTCTTGGGTTGGGATCAAAAGGGGGGGCTCCCCCTGGAGAATGATCGAGGTGGGCGATCCGAAGTCGCTACAGGAGCCGGAGCTTTCCTCAAAGAGCCCGAAGCCTCCTTCGGGCTCTTGGAGTTCTTGGGGTTTGGGGTTCAGGGCTGGGGGTTTAGAGTTGAGGTAAAGAACTTGAAGCCTCCTTCTTAGATCTTGGGGTTTCGGGTTGAGGGTTTCGGGTTGAGGGTTTAGGGTTCCTGAAGGTTTAAGGGTTTTGGGTTTAAGGGTTTAAGGGCAGGGTTTTGGGGGCTCTAAAGCTTGCTTGAGGTTCAGGAGGTTCGATGAATTTCGCTTTGCCTCTTGTGTCTTGAAGGAGCAGGGCCATGAGGTTTGACAAGCCCCTGAAACCCTAAACCCTACACGGCCTGAAGCCCTAGCCCCTACACGAACCTCCAAACTTTAAGTTGCCCACCCGAAGCCGGTGCGAGCCTGCTGGTCAACTCCTTGAGGGAGCCAACATCCGAGGATTCAGGGCGGCTCTCAGCGCGCAGGTTTGTTGTTAAAGCCCCCCTGAGATTCATCCCCAAGCCCTGAATGCCGCCCCCCCCTCCCCCCCACCCTCCTCCCTCCCCAGAGAAAGATGATTATAATAATATATAATAATATGAAGCCAGCAAGGAAAAGACACCCTGCATCTGAGCCCTGCCAGCACCTCGAGCCGTGTCGCTGTCAGGACACGCGTGCGCGCCTTGATGGCCTCGTGCGACGTGAGGTCAAGCGAGTGGGAGGCACGGCCTCGATGGTGAGAAGGGTCCCTGAACCCCTCGAAGCACCCAACCCCCAACCCAAGGCACCCTCTTCTGAAACCCTAAACCCTAAACCCTAAACCATAAACCCTAAACCCGAAACCCTAAACCCGGACCCCTAAACCCTAAACCCTAAACCCTAAACCCTAAACCCTAAACCCTAAACCCTAAACCCTAAACCCTAAACCCTAAACCCTGCACCTTGCAGCTTAGGGGTTGATAGGCTTCAGGGCATCTCTGGGGGACGATGAACCGGGGAAGCACTACTTTGGGGTAATGCTGCGGTTATCACCTTATCTCGTACATCACCAGAGTCCACAACATTCTTCCTCTACCTTATTTACTGAAGGTTTAGCGCAGAACGTTGTATGGCTGAACCTTGTTGCTAAGCTTTGTCCGTTTACGGTGTGGGGCTAAACGTTTGTTGTTAAACCTTATTCGTCTGAAACAGAGCCGAGAATCTGAAAACCAAGGAACTGCAATTTTCTGTTGAAGATTGCTTCAGCATTCTGCTTCGCTTGAGGCACCGCAGTCGGCGTGCACAAGTTGTTCCATGCGTTGTGGAGCTTTAACATTTTGTTCCTCCGGACCACGGTACCTGTTTCTGCGGGCCTCGAAATTGGTTGTGGGCAGTTTTTTTTGTGGGATGGTGACACTCCTTAGCTCGGAATGCGTGAAGCTCTCGCATGATTGCAGGAGGTTCCGTGCTCTCGCTCATCTGACGGCCCTGTTCTGTTCTCTCGTCCCTGCGGGTGCGGGACACTTATCATAATTCACTCCATGTTGACTCGCCTTTTTTCTCCTATCTTACTGCGACAGGGTGCTGGGGGCCCGACTCTCAGTGCTTTTGCAGCACAAGGGTTCGTGCCGGCGCTGTTGTTCCTGGCGTTCTCCCCTCCTCTTCCTGAGTCCAAATGCGAGCTGCCCAGAGGGCCTATCGAAGGAGCTTGGATCTCAGGGTTTTCGCATGCTAGGCGGAGTGTTTTCCCAAGCCAAAATGGCCTCATCTAGGTGTACCCTGACCACCCTACGAGAGTGGAGACCCATGTACGAGGTCATTCCAATGCCCACCAGCCACACTACACTACACTAATGGATTCTTAACCTACCATACCGGCGTATCATGTCGGCTTTTCTATCCGGTTGTTCGTGCCCCTTTGCTTGATTATCGAAAGCACTGACTGTTCCGAACACACTTTCTAGCTTGTCAATACACAACAACAGTTGGCCTGCTGTTTATCTTCATAAACAGCAGGGCACTAGGACAAGTAGTGCAAGGGTCAGACCTAAGTGCCCCACCATTTCCCTATCCACTGGGAAGTTCCGACCGCTTCTAATGTTCTCCAATCATACACTTCGCGTTTTAGCACCTTTAAAGAAATACTGAAAATTCACCTTAAACCTATTGCTTCCCATCTTCCCATGCTTCGTCAGTGTATCACTGCACTGCTCAACCAAGGCTTCTCCATCCTCATATTCTTGTTTGGCAACAGCATTGCGTAGACTTGCAGTTGTGGTGTCATAATCCGATTGGAGGTTCAGCCGTCTCCACCCTGTAGGCATCAACATATCCACCTGTGTTGCCAGCTGAAGTGTGATTTCCGGTACCAGGGGCCAGCACGATCCAAACATCATGGGGCTTAGCGTCGCGGGAACGCTGTCACATGGTTGGCGAGGGGGATCGCTCGAAATACGGCAAGACCCTAAACTTGGCATGTTCCCCCTGATACTAACAGTCCGTAATAGGGACGAGAATAAAGGGTACTATAATCCCTATTAAGGACTGTTAGTATAAGGGTGAACACCCCAACCCTAAACCCCAAACCCAAGATGTTCTTGGAAGGTGGCCGGCGTGTCTTCTTGGGTGGTGCCTCACAAGGCTGCACGATGGCCCTGGACATCTACCTCAGGCAGATCTTGTGAGTTTCGGCTTTTTCTTTGTGGGCTTTGCGGTTTTTTTCGGGCGGTGCTGTGGAAAGCCTGCTCCAAGACTGTGTTGGTCCGCATTTGCGCGGCGCCAGCTCCCCCCGCATCTCCTACCCGAAAGGGAGCCGCGAAACCGCGAAACCCTAAACCCCAACCCCCCAACCTCCAACCTCCAACCCCCAACCCCGAACCCCGAACCCCCAACCCCGAACCCCCAACCCCGAACCCCCAACCCCCAACCCCCAACCCCCAACCCCCAAACCCCAAACCCCAAACCCCAAACCTTAAACCCCAAACCCCAAACCTTAAACCCCCAACCCTAAACCCTAAGCTCACACTTCCCCCTCCCATCCCCCTCTGCAACTTCCCGAGGCTCGCTTCGGAGCTGAAGCTGGGCGGCTTTGTGGGGAGCATCGGTTTCATGCCCACGGACTCGAAAGGACAGAGGGTGCCCAGGGGGTTACCGGGGGGTTTAGGGTTCAGGGTTTAGGGTCGTTGGCGAGGTTGTCAGATATGTTTCATCAACCTCGAAAATTCGGGCGGCAGCCACGTAGACTTGTGCTTGCGCGCATGCGCGTGCAACGGGAACGCACACCCCGGGTCGCCAGCGAAGTTCGATGTGCACGCGCCGATTGCTGCTCTGATTCCGGGCTTGTTTCACGGCAACCGGGTCTGCCCATGACCCCTCAAGAAGAATTTATCAAGGTAGCTCATGCCTTGTGTCCTGTGACCATCCAAACCCATACAGTCCCACAGCGGACGCGACGTGAGGTTCCCGCGGTACCTAGAAATGGTCTCTAGGGGAACGCAACTAGGGGTCCTTTTAAGGGGATTTGGGGTATAAAAAGGTACTCCTCTTTCGGGAATACCCACATCCTCTTGACGTTGAGAGTTTCCCGCACTGCCAGGATTCTCCGGCTCCAACCAGGCACTGCGGAAGCTGTTGAAGGATGAGCGACAGGCGCCACGCCCTCCAAAAGCCCCCCCTCAAGTTTTCTAGGACACCCAAGGCCTTCTAGACTCTAGGACGATTCGGCCCCAAACCCTGACCCAATGCGACTCTTCTTCAGGTCCAAGGGCGGACACCAAACCCTCCCCTTGAGCCCACTCTGGAAAACCTCTCTTAAGCGTTGTGGGACTCGCGGCCAACTGTTTAGGGTTTGCCGCTTAGAACCCTCCATTCCTCGAAGCCCCCTCAAAGCCTGCAAGACCTAGCAATGAAAGCTCGGGTTTCGGGTTTAGGGTCAATCCCAAACCAACCCCTGAACCCTAAACCCCTGAAACTTCGCCAAGCCCCAGAACTCAGAAAGAGGCGCAGCGGCCCGTGTGGCTGCAGTGCGCCATGGACGACTACGAGGCGGTTCCCTGGAGGCCTCATGTAGCCGCCGTGATTCCCTCTTGCAGGGTTTCCTGTTTAAATCCCACACCCTAGATCCTAAACCCGACCAAAACCGGTGAGAGGTGTGTGTGTGTGTGTGTGTGTGGAGAATTTCTTGGAAGCTTCGGATCTGGTTTCGGCGTTCGTGACCTCGAGGTGTGGGAGAGCGAAGCCGGGGTCAGGCTTGCCGGGATTCCTTGAGTTTGGTCCAAAAGCCTAACCCTAAACCAACCCTAAACCCTACACCCTACACCCTACACCCTACACCCTAAACCCTAAACCCTGAACCCTGAAGCCTGAACCCTAAACCCCTCTCCTAGTGCTTCAAAAAGGAGCGTCGTTGAGCCCTCGCTTCGACATGCTGGAAGGTGTCGCAGTCGGGGCTTGTTTCTGGTGTGTAGGGTTCAGGGTTTATAGGGTTTACAGGGCTTATGGGGTTTAAATAAAAAAATATATATATATATATATATATATTTTATGTTTATTTATTCATTTTTTAAAGGGGTTTGTAGGGTTTAATAGGGGTTTAAAGGGTTCATAGGGTTTATAGGGTTCATAGGGTCTATGGGGTTTGTAGGATTTGTAGGGCTTATAGGGTTTATCGTGTTTACAGGGTTTATAGGGTCTATAGGTTGGGATGTTCCCCCTTATACTAACAGTCCTGTCCTTAATAGGGATTATAGGGGGTACTATAATCCCTATTAAGGACTGTTAGTACAAGGGGGAACATCCGAATCTATAGGTTTTGCAGGGTTAAAAGGGTTCTTAGGGGTTGTAGGGTTTGTGGGGTTTATGTGAGTCTCTGGGGTCTGTAAGGTTCATAGGGTCTATGGGGCTTGTAGGGTTTATAGGGTCTATGGGAATTATAGGGTTTGGGTCTGTGGAGTTTATAGGGTTTGAGGGTTTATAAGGTTTATGGGGTTTATGGGGTTTATGGGGTTTATGGGGTTTATGGGGTTTATGGGGTTTATGGGGTTTACGGGGTTTATGGGTTTTATGGGGTTTATAGGGTTTATAGGGTTTATAGGGTTTATAGGGTTTATGGGTTTGTGGGGTTTATAGGGTTTATAGGTGTTATTCCTGTTTAGGGTAGGGTTTGGGGTTAGCGTTCAGGGCTTAAGGGTTTATGTTGAGGATTTAGGGCCACCCACGAAAAGGGCCAGTTCATTCCGCGGTCTTTCTCTTGCGTCATGCTTGTGTCCGTTGTCAAATTCACCAGTGCCCCCCCCTCCCCCCACTCCCCCTATATAAATCCCAAACCCTCCCTAAAGCCCTTGTCATCCAAGCAGCTGAGTTGCTACGAGCGTAAGGTCTCTAAACATGGTCCCATTGTGGGCACCCCGCACAGGAGGTTAGCGTGGGGTTCGGTGGGTGGACGGATTGATCGTGACTAACCCTAAACCCTAAACACTAAACCCGAACCCTTAAACCCTAAATCCTGAACGCTAGGAGCCGGAATCCCACCCTCAACCTTCCGTTCGGATTGAGGGTGTTGAGGTTTTTGGAGTTGAGGGTGTTGGGCTCTTGCGCCCTTGCGTTCCTTTTGCCATCCTAGGGCACTCGAAGCCCCAAAGCCCTGTGAGCCCTCAACTCAGCACGAAGGCCTCAAGAAACCCAAGCCTTACGAAACCTTAGCCCGAATCAACAAACTCTAAGCTCTCAAGGGCCCATGAACCCTAAACCTCAATCCCCAAACCCCAAAGGGCCCCAAACCCTTAACACCCTGAACATCCCTAAGCCCTAAGCCCTAAGCCCTAAACCCTAAACCCTAAACCCTAAACCTCAAAACCCTATAGCCATAAAACCCAAAATTGAAGTCCGACATCCTCGGTTTGTCGAGGCTTCCTGGCCTCCTTCTCCGGCAAGTGGTGGGCCGAGGGCATGGCATTGAGGAGTGGGAGGCTGCGTTTGGGGTCTGGGGTTTAGGGTTAGGGTTTGGGTTTAGAGTTTAGGGTTTAGGGTTTAGGGTTTAGGGTTTAGGGTTTAGGGTTTAGGGTTTAGGGTTTGGGGTTCTGAAGTTGGGGGTTGGGGGGGAAGGGGGGGATCGTTGGGGGTATTTCTTTGTTGAGTTTAGGAGGGGCTTAGGGGGTTTAATTGGGGGTGGTTGGGTTGAGCTGTTTAGAGTTTGAGGGCATCACCGGGTGCTGTGTAGGAGTTTAGGGTTTAGGGATAAATACCCCTCCCCTCAATCCCCACCTTCCTTCTCTGGGTTCGCAGAAGCGGTCCCTAACCGCTGAGCCCCAGGGCCCTAGGGGGCAAAGTGCAAAAAGTTGGACAGCCATGAAAGGCTTCCGATCATGATTTCGGGAACGTCCCTGAACCAAGGGCTTTTTGGGACGTTCTGGGAAGGCGAGTGCTGACCCAAAGGCTCCAGACCCTTCGGCATCAAGCGTTTTATCTTGGCAGCCTAAACTTTGTGCCGGGTTTTCGGGCATTTAGGCTCCAGTAGTAGCCTTTGCCGGTGCCAGAAGTTCCCCTTGCGTAACGTCTTCCCCTCATGACGACGGGAGCTTCGGGATGTTCGTAGAGCTCTGGGCATGTGCGTTTAGGGTGTAGGGTTTGGCGGTCCTAAGCCCCAAGCATTCACACCCCCAAAACCACAAACCCTAAACCCCAAACCCTGCACCCTAAACCCTAGTTAAGCCCGAAGCCTCATAACCCCCGCTGGGGCCCCTTACTTACCCCCAAAGCCGCAAGGCGCACATCGTCAACGACCTCCTCCGCCAATATGCCCCCTATGCGTACGCGGAAAAAAGACACAGCTGAGGGTTCGGGGTTGCGGCGAGATTCTTAACCCTAAACCCTAAACTCCCCCCCCAAGTACCCCTGAAGGCTCGGAAGGCCTCAAGGGTATCCCCAGAGACTCCAAAACCCCTGAATTAAGGAAAAAACCTTAAGTCATATCAGGTTTCCTATCATGAAGGGATATTCCTTAACTAAGGGTTCTGAGTTCTGGAGCTCTGGGTCTTGACAAGGGCCTTAGGCTGACAAGCCTCAAGCTGCGACTGCAAGTGCCTTGAGAAGTTTGGGGAAAGCCACAGCCTCCCACTCCCTAAACCCAAAACCCTTTGAGGTTGTAGGCTTGTGTGGGGGTTGAGGTTAGGGGTTTGAGGGGTCTCACTCCCGAAGTACCCAACCCACCCTGAAGCCCTAGAGCCCTTAGAACCCGAAGACCCTGCCCTGAGACCCCCCCCAAACGCCCAAAGCCTCACCGGTCTTTCAGTAGGCCGACGACGAAAGCCCCGAGGCCCGGCCTGGAGCTTCAAACGTCAAGGGTTCTGGGGGTTCGGGAGTTGGGGCCAGCAACCTTCAGGGCTGCAGCTGGTATGATTAAAGTGTTGCGCGTAGCGCGCCAGCCCCACGATCGGACTCTTTGGCCATGAAACCCGCAAGGGTTCCCCACTCCTCGTGCCAGGAGTGTTCGCCTTCACAGCTGCCCCACTGTGCGGAAGCTGCCCGACGGCCCAGCTCTCCGCTCTCAAGCCTCTAAACCTTCTCGTTCTTTGTAGGGATATTTGGGGGTTTCCACCTTGTTGGGGTCCTTATAACAAGGGATCCTACTATTTGGATCTATGTTGTAAACCTCCATTTGGAGACGCCTCACAAACAACGCCGAGGTGGCCTCCCTGGCGTCTCTGGATGGACTGGCAGATTACCTGCTGGTGCGCCCTCAGCAACCTCACCACAGATCCGAGACCCCTAAATACCAAATCGCCGAAGTAACTCCCCACGGTGCCTTTGCTTTCCTCACCTCGTGGAGCAGAGTGCTACAAGGAGCCCTCTGTACACTCAAAACCCCCAAAGACTCCAAAGCCGCACCTGCTTCCCCAGGCTGAGCCCTCCAAACGCCCCTCAACAGGACACCTTTGCACAGGGCGCGGCGCGCCCGCAGCCGGAGAGCTTGGCAAGGCGGGAACCGGAGGGGTACCAGTGCACAGCCTTCGACATCCTTAAGCCCCAAACCTAAACCCCAAACTCGAAACTCTACACCCTATATACCCCTAGCCCTGTGCATCCCTTAAGCCCCATGTAAGGCTCGGCTGGGCCCCCGCTGCGGCCGCGCTGCTTGGGCCCTCCAGCGACGGAGGCCATCAGAAGGGGCTGGGCTTTGGGTTCCTTTGGGGTTTCGGGGCTTTGGGGTTTGGGGGTTTTAGGTGTGGGGTTTCAAGGCTTCCGGGCTTTGGGGGTGTAGTGGTTTGGGTTCAGGGTTTCGGGTAAGAAACGCGAGCGAGCTCACTGACCTAGCTTCTGGCGGACTGCATCGAGTTTAGCTGTTGGCGGGTTTAGGGGTAGTAGGCTTTCGAGGTTAGAGGGTGTGGGTTGAAGATTTGAGGGATTGAGGGTTTAGGCTTGAGTATAGGCTTCAGGTTGAGGAAGGGAAGTCAGTCAGGTCTTTAGAGCTCAGGAGGATAACTCACACCGGCTGTGCTCATGCTCCCACTTCCATCATGTCTTTCGGGTTTGGCGCCCGGTGCGACCCTAAACCCTAAACCCTTGAATCCCCTAACCCTAAACCCTAAACCCCTAAACCCTAAACCCCTAAACCCCTAAACCCCTAAACCCCTAAACCCCTAAACCCCTAAACCCCTAAACCCCTAAACCCTAAACATCCCTAAACATCCCTAAACAGCCCTCAACCCCTCAACCCCTCAACCCCTAAACCCCTAAACCTCTAAACCCCTAAACCCCTAAACCCCTAAACCCCCAACCCCTAAAACCCTAAACCCCTAAACCCCTACACCCCCAAACCCCCAAACCCCCAAACCCCCAAACCCCCAAACCCCCAAACCCTAAACCCCTAAACCCCAACCCCCAAACCCCCAAACCCCCAAACCCCCAAACCCCTAAACCCCTAAACCCCTAAACCCCTAAACCCCTAAACCCCTAAACCCCTAAACCCCTAAACCCTAAACATCCCTAAACATCCCTAAACAGCCCTCAACCCCTCAACCCCTCAACCCCTAAACCCCTAAACCTCTAAACCCCTAAACCCCTAAACCCCTAAACCCCCAACCCCTAAAACCCTAAACCCCTAAACCCCTACACCCCCAAACCCCCAAACCCCCAAACCCCCAAACCCCCAAACCCCCAAACCCTAAACCCCTAAACCCCAAAACCCCCAAAACCCCCAAACCCCCAAACCCCCAAACCCCCAAACCCCTGCCGCGAGGTGCCTTCGAGCTCGGCGGCGGCTCGGGAGCTGGCTTCCAGGCATCTTGGTCTAACGCTTTGGGGAGGTGGAGGGTTTAGGGTTTAGGGTTTAGGGTTTAAGGTTTAAGGTTTAAGGTTTAGGGTTTAGGGTTTAGGGTTTAGGGCTTTTCAGGGCTGCGGACTTGGTTTTTGCTTGCTTCTGTAGCCGCACCCGCAACCCCATGGCCCAATCTAAGTACTAAACCCTAAATCCCCAAACCCCAAACCCCCAAACCCCTAAACCCTAAAAGCCCTAAACCCGCCTGTTTTGGGAAGGTCATTTGCGAGGACCGTGGCATCGCCACGCTTGGCGGAGGCAGGCTCCTTTCTGTGGACCCGCGGAAGAAACCCCGACATCCTAAAAGCAGTCCCCTATAGGGTTCAGGGTTCAGGGTTCAGGGTTTAGGGTTTAGGGTTTAGGGTTTAGGGTTTAGGGTTTAGGGTTGAGGGTTTAGGGTTCCCCTAAATCCATACAGAAACTCCCAAAGCCAAACTGCTCTCCCCTATGTCCCCTAAGCCCTACGTAGTAACTCCCGAAGCCCTGTAGAATCCTGAAATCCTAAAACCTCTCTAGGCCAGAAACTTCAGGAAGGGCGTTGGCCTTTCGACAGCAGCACCGTTTTCAAAAGGTGCCTTTTCATGGGCCGGCACGCCGTCATTTCAAGCCCAATGGCCCCAAAACAGGGTGCCCCTGGTCTCCCTCTGGTTGCGAGGGAACCTGGTGACAGTTCACGCCCCCTGAGCCCTCAAACCCCTTCCTTAACCCCGAACTTAAATCCGCACCCCAAAACCCTAAACCCTGAACCCGATACCTCAAAAACCCTAAACCCCAAACCCTGAACCCTAAACCCTAAACCCTGAACCCTTTACCCTACAGCCTAAACCGCACCCGAAGTCTCCGCACATGTTCAGGCGGGGGCGGCGGGGCCTTTGGCTGGATGAAGCCGGCCGAGTCATCCGGGGAAGGCCGCGTTGGGGGTTTAGGGTTTAGGATTTAGGGTTGAGGGTTTAGGTTTTGCTGTGAAAGGGCGCAGAAGCTGTGAAGGTTGGGATGTTGGGATGCAGACTGGCTTCAAAAGCTTCGTGAAATGCGAAGAAAAGCCAGGGCCATCTAACATTTTTATCCCACCCCACGCCCTCTGAGGCGGCAAAGCCACCCAAGCCTATTCCTTTTAGGGTGTAGGCCTAAACTCACGTCAACGGCTCACATCCAAAAACTTCTTCCGTTCTAGGGGGTCTCGAGTCAGGGGGGGGGTGAAGAGACTTCCAGGGGGGTCCTAGAAGTTCCAGAAGCCACAGGAGGCGGCCCCACTGTAGGGGGGCGGCCGCAAGCCTTAGCTGAACCCTCCCAAATTTAGGGTAGGACAAGCCGGTGAGGGATGTCGAAAGGTACATTACAGTCCTTCGACCCCAAGCCCCTAAACCCCTAGACCCTGCAGTTTCCTTTCAGGGCTCAATGATTTGACAAACCCCAATTTCCGATCCTCGCTGTCGTATCACGCATCTGTTTGGGCGATTCCGGGTTGCAGCGCCTTTGAAGCAAAGCTTCCATCCCACGTGCAATGTGCAGGTGCGCGCCCTGTGGCTGGAAACTCAGACGGCTTCGCGGCTAGTCTGAGGTACCGCCTATACCCTGAATCCTGCTTTGCCCTGTTGCCGAGTCTTGAGTCTAGTAGCTTGTAAGTAGTAGTAGCAGTGCTCACAAGGTTTGGATGCCTGGCTACTTAGTCAGCAATTTTGGAGTCTGCACAGAGGCGTGTATGGCTCCCCGGCAAAGCAGAACCTTGCAGCTCCACCGGAGGTTTCATGCTTGAGGTGTATCAAGAGCCGGAATGCCAACCGCTTATCTCCCATTCAGGCAAGGAATCCCAAACCCCTAAGCCCTAAGCCTTTTAAAGTCCTAAACCCCGAACCCTGAACCCTAAAGCCTAGAACTCCAAGTCCTGGCCCCGTGCCCTGCAGTCTTTCCTGTACTGGTGCAACACACGCCCATGATCACTCGCTCATCCGCTTGGCTTTGAATGGCCTTTCTTGGCAGAGCCCGCTTCATGACTTTGAACTTGGGGGTTTAGGGTTTAGGGTTTCGGGTGTGGGGTGCCCTTAAACACTCTTGGCTTGTTGAAGGCTTCGAAGCTTCATGGCCGCGGGTCTTTGCGAAGAGAGGGTCTCCTGTGTGGGTGTTAGGGGAAACCTTTTGTTTCAACCATGAGATGGCTTCCGCATGCACTGTTCTGTTGCAAGAGGTCTCCCTCCAAGTTGCTAGTGTTCGCGGTCGCACAACACCCTAAGCCCCAAGCCCTACTGCGGGTTGCGAGGCCGAGAACGAAACGGTGGGAGGCTCCCCCAGTGCATGTGCGGGATTTCAGGGTCGAAGGGTTCGATTTTAGAGCTTGATCGTTTCCAGGCGTCTTTACAGCTTACGCTTTCGAATGGCCTCCCCCTACCCGTGCCCAAACGCACCCAGGAAAGCGCCCATAAGCGTTTCAGGCGGAGCAGGTGGCGGCATGCAGATCTTTTTCCCGGCCAACGTGACTGGGCGGCCTTGGGAGGCCTCCCCCGCACGCGAACTGGTTGTTCAGGGCTAAGACTGTTTAGGGTTTCGGGTTTAGGGTTTAGGATTTCGGGGGGTTTAAGGGTTTAGGGTTTAGTGTTTAAATTTCGGGATGTTCAGTAACGTGTTTCCCAAGCAAAGGTATCTAAGGCTAACCTCCCAACAAAGGCATATGGGGGTTTCCGAACTTAGTAGTCCTGGTGGGGACTATATTAGGGGTCCCTTATTTTCGCGGTATATGAGGCAGCAACCTTGTGGGTATAGTGATAACACGGTCGGAACTGTTTGATGAGGGCATCTTGAGCACGTGTAAGGTGCACTCAATCCACGAAGCAGAAGCAAAGAGAACCAACAACTACAGATACATATGTGAGGGTTCAGCACCTTGGTTTCGGTGCTAGCTGCATGGGTCCAGGCAACCTCCCCCTCAACCCTCACCCCCCCCGGGCCTTGCAGGCCGATCACTGGATCTCCTGGGGCTCCGGTGGAGGGCATGGCTGTGACTCGGCCTTCAGCTCACTGGGGGTGTAGCGTCCCCATGCTCCTGCCCCTGCTTCGTGGGGTTCAGGTTTTTTGGTCGGCTCCCGGCCTCTTCAAGCTGATCGTTCTAAGTCGCACGGTTCTTTCCGGGGAAGCTTCGAAGATATTATAACACTATTTGCTTAAGAACCACGCAAAAAAAATGAAACACAGTTTTCCCTATAAGGGCAATCTAGGTATGATTATTCGGTTTTTTAGGGGGGGATGTTGAGCTAATAGTAGTATTGTAGGGTTGGTGGGATCCATGAACCTCAAAGTGTTGGGAGCTCGGTAGCTCCCTTCCTTTCCCCGGCTCTACGCCTTCTAGGACCCGGAATGGTGGCAGCTATTCATCTGAGGAACCCTACATTCCTGAAGCCCTGTGAAGACCCCCCCTTGAGGCAGACGCAGGCGCCCTCATGGGCAAGCTTGGCCCATGACACATGCCCTCGCACCCCAGACCCCTGACCCCCTCACCCCGAACCTTGCAAACGTTAAGCCTTCAAGCCCTAAACTCCTCGAAGCCCTGAAGTTCTGAAACTCTGAAGCCTACACCCCAAAACCCGTGTTAGCCTGAACTCCACACTCTTTGGGGATCCGAGGCGGTTCGTGCAAAGCTGGCGACACCTTTTGCGAGGAACCGATGGGGCACCCAGCCCAGAACCTAAGGCTTTCGGGTGTTTAGGCTTCAGCTGAAACCCCTGAACCCTATACCCAAACCCTAAACCAGCTCAGGTTTTGGGGATCAGAGTTTAGAGAAAGTTTCGTGCTTTTCGGGCGTCGGTTTTTTCACCAAAGACCCTGTGATCTTGCCAGGAGTCACCGCTGCGGATCACCTGCGGGGCAAAGCTGCTCTGCCATGGATTGCCATGGATTGCCCAGACTGAATCCCAACTCTTCAAGGATTTTGTTCTTTGTTAGGTTTTAGGGTTCAGGGTTCAGGGTTCAGGGAGTTAGGGTGCATGTCAGGGTCATTGAGCAAGTGTGTGCGCCGCGTTGCTAAACCCGAAACCCGAAACCCTAAACCCTAAACCCTAAACCCTAAACCCTAAACCCTCAACCCTAGACCCTTGCCAGGATGGACGACAATGGTGCCGTGGGCCGCGTCGCCGGCCAGCAGGCCTGTGCGTTTGAGTAGGTCTGGTCGGTGGAGGTTTAGGGTTTAGTTTACGGTTTAGGGTTTAGGGTTTAGGGTTTAGGGTTTAGGGTTTAGGGTTTAGGGTTTAGGGTTTAGGGTTTAGGGTTTAGGGTTAGGGCTCAGGGTTTAGGGTGTAGGGTTAAGCTCAACACGAAACCCTAGAGGTGGGCTTTGCTTTCTGTAGTTTGTAGTTTGTTGGGTTTGCATGGGGTTCCGGGAAATCGGGGAGTGTGGGCCTGGTTCAGGTTCAGGTTGTGAGCACTTCCGCAAACTGTACCTTTGTACAGCAGGGCTTGTGCAGGTGTGCTGGCTTGGGGAAGGTTTTGGGACACCCTTTAGTATTTCTTCTCAGGCAAAGGTCTTTCCCGAGATCTTTTTCCTCACCCCGAGGGAGGTGAGACCCGAAACCCTAAACCCTAGACCCTAAACCCTAAACCCTAAACCCTAAACCCCGGCATGCCCAGGCAGTGAGGAATTGGCGTGAGGGCGCCCGTGGCTGAGCCGACTGGCGAGTGGGGAAGCGGGTTTGTGGGGTTGAGGGGGTGGTTTAGGGTTGAGATGTTCCCCCTTATACCAGCAGTCCGTAATAAGGGATTCTAATCGGAGGTACTAGAACTATAATCCCGATGAAGGACTGCGAGTACAAGGGGGAACGTCCCAAGTTTCGGGGGTTCAGGGTTCACGGTTTCGGGGCGGCTTTAAACCCCCCAAGCCACCAGGTCTTACGCAGCTGCTACGATGCCGGCAAGCTGGCTGTCATCGGCGGGGGCGGTGGCGGGGCCCGGACCTTTGTCACTTTGTCAGGGTTGAAGGCTTAGCAATGGGATGGTCCCCTTTTTCGAACAGTCCTAAATAGGGATTGTACTAGGGGTACTAGAATCCCGAATAAGGACTGTTAGGATAAGGGGGGAACATCCCAAGTTTGGCACCTAGGGGTATTGAGGGTTTTTGGGGTTTCTTTGGTGCGTGATTGCTTCAATGTAGATCACTCTATGTGCCCCCATACAATTGTGGGGAGCCATTGAGTTCAAGATAAGCCCGAACCCTCGTTGACAAACCCCAATGTGGCTTAAGGAATCCATTCCTCAATTCAGGGGTTCCGGGACCCAGGCAGAATCTTCAATCTGACTAAGAGTCAAGGAACCTACTCCTCGACTAAGGGACCTTGGACGCAGGACAAGCTTGAACCTTTTCAAGAGCACACAGAGCTTCAAGGAGCCCCTTCCTCAATAAGGGGGGGAAGTGAGCCAGACAGGGTCGGGGTTTAAGCCCCCCCCTAAGCCCTGGAATCCTGAAACCCTGAAGCATCTCAGGTTTGGAGCTTCGGGTTTCTTGAACCTTAAACCCTAAACCCTAAACCCTAAACCCTAAACCCTAAACCCTAAACCGTAAACCCTAAACCCTAAACCCTAAACCCTAAACCCTAAACCCTAAACCCTAAACCCTAAACCCTAAACCCTAAACCCTAAACCCTAAACCCAGGCAGGCGGTGCCAGATGCTGTGCAGCGGTCCCAAGGTGTGGCTTTGACAGGGTTTGGCGGCCACCACGAGGTTGGGTTCCCAGAGACTCCAAAACCCCTTAATTAAGGAATATACCTTAAATCATATGAGGGTTCCTATTCTAATTTAAGGTATATTCCTTAATTAAGGGGTTTTGGAGTCTCTGGGTTTACCCCTAAGCCTAGACCCTAAGCCCTAAACCACTGAGTTGCCCCGTCACATGTGGCCGCTTTGATCGTTTGTGGCTCGCAGTGCCCTATGCCCTAAGCCCTAGACCCCAAGCCTGAAACCTAAACCCTGAAACCGGTTTAGGGCTTACGGTTTAGGGTGTAGGGTGTAATGTTAACGTCGCTTTAATAACCCCCCCCAAATCTTGTTTTGGTCCCCGGGGTTTGGAGGGGTCAAAAAAAGAGGGGGTGTCAATAGTTGGAATCTGGGGGTCTTCTGGGGGTCTGGGGGGGGTCAGCTGTCAGGGTCTGCTCTGCTTTGTCTTGAGGGGTTCTGCTTGCTCTCTGCAGCTCAAAAGACAAGCAATCTCAAACGAGATCTGCTTCTCTAAAGACTGAGCCTCGGAGCCCTTTCCAGCCAGCTCAGCTGAAAAGTCTTCTCTGCAATGGAACCCTTAAGCCATTTTCAGTATTAAAACTTTGCATTCCTGGCCAGAAAAATATTGCAGTTGTCACCCCATTATTATTCTCACCGGGACCCCCCTATATAGACTTGTTTATGGATTTCGGCCCGGAAACCTCCCGTAATGGAAAGTAGTCTTCGGCTGGGGCCCGCTGGCCCGGCGAATATTGCAATTACCACCCCATTTATAGATGTGAGGTTAACATGAGGGTAACCCCAGAAAAATCTCAATGTCTGAGGACAACTTGAGGCTAAAAGCCCACCTTCCGCCCTGTGCTTAGATGAGGCTTTCGTATCCTTTCCAGGGTTTAAGGGTTCAGGGTTCAGGTGTAGGGTTTAGGGTTTGCCCACTGAAGCAACGCGCCTCGACCTAAGGGGTCGTGGGCGGTGCGTCGCGCGAAAGCTAAAACCCCACCCCAAGACCCCCCCGGACCTTACTCTGTTGGGGTTTAGGGTTTAGTTTGTCATAGTTCTCTTATTGTTTGATGTAAGCTGAGGCCAACCCTGCTATGCATTTCTACATGTGGATATGCCCGGAAGAGGGTCCCAAGATCACGCTCGGGGCTTAGCCCCGAACCCCAGTTCATAAACCCTGAAGTTCTGAAGGCCCTGAATCCTAAATCCTGACCGTCAAGGCCCTGAAGCCTCAATCCTAAACCCCAAGGGCTGTGAATACAACAATCCGAAACTCGCTCAGGCGAGGGCTCCCAGGACTTGCCCAGGACAAATGTTACGGCGCAGCAAGCAGGAGGCAAAAAAAGTCTCGAGCCAGCACACTTTGCCATCAGATGCGCGGGGAACGTTCGGTTCATGCGCAGTGCTGCCATTCTACAAGTCTTGTTTCAAAGTGAGTGGCAGACGTCAATTCGAAGTGGCAAAAGTGCTGTGGGGCTACAATCTACACACTGTGTCTCACTTCACAATGACAATGAGAGACTATAAGACACGACACCGGCGGCTCTTCTTTTTTCGGCCGCGGCTGCAAACGTGAATTCTCAAAACCAAATCGGGGCGTCGAAGCCCCAGATGCCAGCTGCGGGAGGTCGCTTCTCAACGAGCCGGGACGAAGTCGTCCACGGTCACCACGACGTCGATGAGATAGTCCCTGTCGTACTTGACAAGGGAGAGGGCGACGTACCCCGCCGCCGGGCACATGGGACGGTCCAACCACACCGTCACATGGGGCTCGGCGCCCTGGTACTTGTCCATGGTGTCGGCGTAGCCGAGCAGTAAGGGGTGCGTTACGGTGCCAGAAGCTAACTTTTCTGGCACTAAAGAGGGCGTTGGCCTCCAACTGCTAGACTGTCGCTACTCAGTTGTCGGCTGCCGTCGCTACTTGTAGAGGCTCGGCAGGCTCGCTGCGGCCCGCTGCCTGGCCGGCAGCTAATCAGGGGCCTTGCTCGCAGTTTAGGGTTCACGGGTTTGGGGTTTGGGGTTTAGGGTTTAGGGTGACGCAGCCCTTGTAACCCGTTATAAGTTTCGCCAAGGAGGCAGAAGTCCTGACAAGGCCCTTGTAATCTCTCTTCTGAGCCATGACAAGCCCCTACACACCCACGCACCCCCTTTCCCTTATAAGCCCTGAAAGGCCTGACATTTGCAGGGTTTTCCCTAAACCCTAAACCCTGAACGGTCAACCCTAAAACCCTCAACCCTCAACCCTAAGAACTCATCCACTGGCCCATGGATTGGCTCTTCGGCCAGCGGTCGGAGCCCCTCCGCTCGGGCCGCAAGGCCCAGCCAGTTGTTTTGTGGTTCACAGGAATTTGGGGTTCGGGAGTTCAGGGTTTGGGAGTTCAGGGTTTGGGGGTTTAGGGTGTGTGGAGGTTAGGGTTGGGAGGTTGGGGTTCAGGGTTCAGGGTTCAGGGGTTTAGGGTTTAAGAGTATGGGTTTTAAGGTTTAGGGGCTTAGGGTTTGAGGGTCGTCCCTCTAGCGTTCGCGCGCAGGCACGGACAGTGCCACTTGTGGGAGGGTTTGCTGTTTTCAAAATCGGGTCTCGGGCTTTAGGCTTGGGGTCTAGGAGGGTGGGGGTAAAGATTTAGGGTTTAGGGTTGCGGGTCGGGGTTCCGGGGTGGGGTTTGGTAGTTTTTGGGGTTTGGGGTTGATCTTAGGGTAGTGACATGGGCCCTGAGTAGGGTCCCTTACTTAAAGGGTTCTGATGTACAGGGTATATAAGGGGTATACACGGGGTATCACGGGGTCCCATGTAAGGGCCCATACTAAGGGACCATGTAACGATGCCCTTAGAGTTGGGGGTTTTGGGCTTGGGGGTTTGGGGTGCTTGGGGGCTCAGTATACGTGTAGTTTTGACCTACATATAATAAGCCCCGCAAGTAAACCCGAAACCCTAAACCCTAAACCTTCTTATAACTGGGTCACTAAGTACCATGAACTTCCAAGTGGAAAGGTCTTGCCGCTCTGCGTCCGCAGCGGCCGCCGGTGTGGTGTGCTTCTTGGACGCCCATACGATGGTGGGGAGTAAGGATCAGGGAGTTTAGGGTGTAGGTCCCTAAACCGTAAACCCCAAACCCTAAACCCTAAACCCCAACCCTAAACCCCAAACCCTAAACCCTAAACCGGTTTCCGTTTCATATTTGGTTTCGGTTTGAGGGTTGGGTGCGGGTCCTTAAACCCCTAAGCCCTCAAACCGCCGGCTGACGTCGAGGCACCAGCTTCCTTATGGCCCCGGCCGTGTGCTGGCACCTGCCCTGGCGCAGCACTGGGTGCAGCTGGAGCTCAGCCGAACCGACAAGCCCTAAGCAGTCCCTACTTGGGGGTTTGTGGGTTAAGGGCCCACGGCTAAACCCCCAAGCCATCGGGAGAAGCTGATGATTTGGGAGCCCGCAAGCCAACAATGTTTCCTCTTTTGGGGTGTGTCAGGGTTTGTCAGAACCCCCCCCCCGCCGCCCCCAAAATGCTGAAACTCCGCAAACTTGACGCTCAGCAGCTTCAAGCTCCCAAAAAGCCCTAGAATCCTAAGGCCTTAAGCCCCTTCAAAATGCCCTGGGCTCCAGACCCTAAACCTTATACTACCCTATACCCTATACCCTATACCCTATACCCTATACCCTGGGCCATAAACACTATACCCTACTAAACCCTAAACCTTAAACCCGAAACCCTAAACCCTAAACCCTAAACCCTAAACCCTAAACCCTAAACCCGAAACCACCCTAAGCCCTAAGCCCTAAGCCGTAAGCCCTAAATCCTAACCCCTAAACCCTAAACCCTAAACCCTAAACCCTAAGCCCTATATAAGCCCTAAGCCCTAAGCCCTAAGCCCTAAGCCTTAAGCCCTAAGCCCTAAGCCCTAAGCCCTAAGCCCTAAGCCCTAAGCCCTAAGCCCTAAACCCTAA